GGCAAGAGAAACAAAAAAATAAAACAAATTGGTCTACATCAAAAAGGTTTTGCACAGCAAAGAAGAACATATTCATCAATGATACGTCTGATAAGGGGCTAATATCCCAAATTTATGAAGAACTTATACAACCACACACACACACACACACACACACACACACACACACACACACACACACAAGCAATTCAATTAAGCAGTGGTCAAAGGACCTGAATAGACACTTCTCCAAAGAGGACATACAGATGGCCAATAGATATATGAAAGGATCATCAACACCATTAATCATCAGATAAATGCAAATTAAAACCACAGTGAGATATCACGTCATACCTTTCAGAATGGCTATCATCAATAAATCAACAAATAACAAGTATTGGATGTGGAGAAAAGGGAACTGTTGGTGGGAATGCAGATTGATGCAGCCACTGTAGAAAGTAGTATGGAGTTTCCTCAAAAAAATTAAAAATGGCCCTGCCTTATAACCCAGCAATTCTACTTCTGGGAATATATTTAAAGAATAGCCAAGATTTGGAGGCAGCCTAAGTGCCCATCAGTAGATGAGTGATTAAAAAAAACCTGTGGTCTAGTTACACAATGGAATACTATCTAGCCATAAAAAAGAAGAAATCTTACCTTTTGTGACAGCCTTGGCAAGCCAGTCAAATAAAGACAAGTACCATGGTTTCACTTACAGAGTATATGTAGAATCTAATGAACAAAATAAACTAACAAAATGGAAACAGACTCATTGATATAGAAAACACTGACAGCTGTCCGAGGGGAGGGGTTGGGGCAGGATGAAAAAGGGTCAAGTGATTAAGCAAAGAAAAAAAAAGACTCCTGTGACCCCCTCAGGGCCTCTGGCAGCAAGCTGCAGAGATAGAAGGGGGCAACAGGCTCTCTCCCCTCCTAAGAGCTGGTGCTACCTCAAGCAAAGGGGCAGCCTTGATCTATTCCTACACGTCCCAACTGCACCTTCCTACAGGTGCAGACTCGCAGGGCAAAGGGGCCACAACTCAGAACTGGGAAATATGGTACATTTACCCAATGGAACACTATGCAGCTGTTAAAAAAAAAAAAAATCTCTTACCCTTTGGGACAACATGGATGGAGCTGGAGAATATTATGCTAAGCAAAATAAGCCAGTCAGAGGAAGACAAATATCACAGGATCTCACTTATATGTGGAGTCAAGGAACAAAATAAACTTATGAACAAAATAGATCCAGAGACATAGAAGCATAGAACAGACTGACGAATTTCAGAAAGAAGATGGGTGTGAGGGAACTGGAGGGAGAGAGATTAACTGGAGAACTTATATACATACTAGAGGCCTGGTGCACTAAATTCGTGCATGGGTGCAGGACCTAGGCCTGGCCAGCAATCGAAGTGCGAGAGTCTGGCATGGAAGGGCAGGTCCCAGCTGACCTCTGGGCCTTGGGCAGCACCTGGGCCCCCAGGCCCTCACACGCCCCCCTCTGCCTAAGTCATGGCACCTGAGTTCCCACACGAAGATGTGGTGAATGCGGCCGGATGCTGTGGGCTGGGGTGCAGCATGGGCCTCTGGGCCACCCAGTGGCACCGCACAGAAGCCGGGCAGGCAGTGCACTCTCTCCTGTCTGGCCTCGCCGACTGGTTTCTGTGCGGACCCACAGGGAGCCTGACCAGCCTCTGCAGTCCCGGCAGCTGTGGCCCGGCTCACCTGGAAGAGGCCTCCCGGGTGCAGGGCGGGCTCTTTGCGGGTCCCAAGCACCTGAGTGTGTGGGCTTCCCTGGCCTGTGAGCCTTGGCATTCTGGGGAAGAATAGCAGGGGGAGTGAGAGCGAGTTCAGCCGACACCCCACATTCTCACCACACCTTTGTCCCCATCACCCCCACCCTCAGGTAGCTGGCGAGAGGTCACAGTACATCTCCTTTGCCCATCACGTTTCACGCTGCCCCCTGGTGGTCAGCACACAGCATACCGAGAGGTTGAACTCCAGGTATCTAGGTCGAACAACCATCTGAGGGGACAATTTGCATATTAGGCTTTTATTATATAGGATATGCATAGCCCATGGACACAGACAATAGTGTGTTGAAGGCCTGGGAGGGGCAGATGAGGGGTGGAGGGATCAATGGAGAAAATAAAGGGGGGGGGTACCTGTAATACTTTCAACAATAAAGATAAATTAAAAATAAATAAATAAGTAAATTGGTGAACAAGATAGGACTATAGACATGGAAGCACAAAACTGACAGTTCTCAGAGGGAAGGAGGGTGGGAAGAGATTAACCAAATAACTTATAAGCATATATGCATATCCCATGGACAAAGACAATAAACAGGTGAAGGCCTGGGGTGGGTGAAATATGGGTGGGAGGGTGGGGAGGGGAAGGGGGACATCTGTAATACTCTTAACAATAAAATAAATATTTTAAAAAGGCTCCTGGACACAGACAACAGTATGGTGATTGCCAGAGGGAAGGTTAAAGAGAGGATAAATGATGATGAAAGAAGACTTGACTTTTGGTGGTAAACACACAATACAACCTACAGATGATGTATTTTAGGGTCATATACCTGAAACCTATGTAACTTTATTAACCAGCGTCACCCCAACAAATTCAGTAAAAATAAATTTGAAAAAGAAATAAAAGTAATATTGTTTAATACTGAAAATTGTTCCATGATAATGAGCAACTACTGTGAATACTTTGCTGATTCAGGAGCATCTTTCAGAACCACACATGAGTACATAACAGAAGCAAGGAAATGGATCCCCAGCATTTCTGGGAAACAGTATTTTATTATGTAAGAGCCTATTGCATCCATGACATCTGAGAGGAAAGATTGGCCTAGTTAATTAATTTATTTTCTCATCCCTCAAATCCCCCCAAACTCCAAATCAGAATCTGCCTTCAATGTCAGTAGCAGCACAACCCACAAAATGTTTTGATATTCAAATGCAGTTTCAAGGACACATGCTAAGGTGGTGAATGAGCATGTTCCTTGAGCCTGCATGGGATTAGTTGTTTAAGGTTGTACACTGTGCCCATATTCGAGTGACAGAGACACCCTGTGTTCCTTGCTACATTTATTTTGTTTGTTCGTGTGTGTTTGTTTTTAGTGGCCCTGTTAATATACTTGCTCATTTTCTCTGTTCCTTGTATTTAAAATAAAGGGCCGCCCTTCAAAGATCACTCATCTTTGCTTTTGTTATTATCCTTTCTTGTCACTTCCATTAGAAGACTTACAGTATCACATCTTCCACTGACCTGTCTCCTGTAGTATCGGCTTGAAGTAATTGTTACTGTCTTGTGTTCATGTAGTATTTATCACATGCTTTTATTGTGGTGTTCTGTAGGCCTTTATTACATTTATAGAGATGCCTGTCTCCCCAGCTGCATTGCTAGTTATCTGAAGGAAGATATATGGCCTAATTTATTCTTGTATTTTCCCAAGTCTAGAATACTTAAATATATTGGCTAAACTGGATTGAATCACATCGGAGAGCTCATAAGTTTTATAAGTTTATAGGGAAGAACTAAATGAATTGTTTTCATATAATTATAGAAAATTACATTTTACAAAATAATTTATTTTCATGTAAAGGCACTGTGGGGACTCATGGTCCTATTTATGGGGCTCTCTGTCCTTGTGGACACTCTGGGGCTTCAAGTCAATCCACAAGTTCAGCCCTAGAAGGGAAGGCGGGGCTGAGCCATCTCTATCTGCTGAGTGGCAAGTGCTCCTTTCTTAAGGTTTTAGCCCATTAGGAGGCACTGTAGGCTTTTTTAAAACCAAGACTACTGTGAGGAACATAGCTAGTTGTGAATGCTTGTTGAAATATTTGAGAAATTCTCTGAGTGTGCAAATGGGGACTAGTGATAGTAAAGAGGGAAAAATAATTGTATGAGAAAAACACAAAATTTTTATCAGCATATAAGAAATATGCTTTTTGCTGAGTATTTCTTTCAATTAATAGCTTTGCCTATTCCTCGATTCAAGTACTAGACATTGGTAGCTATAATACACATATCTATATTTACATTGTTACTGTTATCTTTATCTATGTCATTATCTATATCTGTATTTACTAGAAAAAACTCCTGGATCAAACAGAGAGTCATATAAAGCAAAAGGGAAGATGGAGAATTCCAAAGTATAGATATTGGATTTTTCTGATTTTTAAAATTCCTATTGCCTATGATTTTTCAATATTGCCATTTCCAAATTATTTCTAAACCATTGAATGCCATCTTTTCTTTAATATTTTTTCTGTCTCTTTCTTGTCACTAGAAAAAATAAAAAAACAGGGAAGAGAGAGAAGGTAAGGGTGAAAAGGAGAATATGAAAGTAGAAATGTAATGAGAAGGGAAAGTGGGAGAAAAAGAGGAAGACTGAGGAATGAGAAAGAAAAAAGATTAACTGAACTGCAAGCATGAACCACAGGAAGTGTTTACAGATAAGAATTAGAGAAACAAAGCAAATAGCAGCAAGGATAATGTCTGAATATATTCTAGTTTTTTCCTCACCATTTTCAATCTCATTTGGTTCATTTTTTATAACAATGTTTGCCACAAGTCTTAGTTATTCCAGGAGAGTCCCATCCATATGTCACATATTCCAATAATAGGAATTCATTAAGTAGATAATACATAAATTTATATTCGTATTACTTTGTATGGTTGCAATGACTGTCATTTAATTAATTTGTAGGTTAGTAAAGATCCTTTTGTCAGGACATGAGCCTGTTAACTTGGATTTAAAATGTGGATGTTCTTTTTGTGATTCTCGCCAGGCTTTAATTAGCATAGATACGGGGAGGAGGCCTCTCCCTTTCCTGCTCACACTCTTTACTATATTCAGAATTATCAGAAAATGTCCCTCACATGACAGAACAGTGACCTTTCTTTTCCCCTCTCACCCCGCCACTCTCCAGCCCATTCTTAGTAGGGCTGAGGCTGGAGGGCGGGTCCTCCTGTCACTGACTGAGCAGAGCTGATTGGTTGCAGGAGCAGGGACAGTTTGAGAGCCAAGTCATGCCGCTCACCCTCCCAGGGCACAGCTAAATCTATCTTAGGGTGAACATGCCCCGAGCAACAAGGCAAAGCGTCATGACGAGGCTGTTGGGCACTGTGCTGGGGCTTTTGTGCACCCATGTTTACTGTGAGTTGGGGGTGTCCCAGGCGGGAGCCTAAAAGGAGTGTTGTGGAGGGAGGGAGGAAAAGTTGCTCTTCAGACTTTCTATCCTTCTCATGACGAATGGGGACGTTTTCCAGGTTTTGTGGGTGTTACGGTGACCATCACCTGTGACTGTGTCTTTGTCTCTCATCAGGTGTGAGAGGGGTGCAGGTGGAGCAGAGTCCCCCAGCCTTGATTCTCCAGGAAGGAGCCAGTTCCACGCTGTGGTGCAATTTTTCCACCTCTGCGAACAACGTGCAGTGGTTTCGCCAAAATCCTGGAGGTCGCCTTGTCAACCTGTTTTACGTTCCTTCAGGGACAAAGTGGAATGGAAACTTAAAAGCTACGACAGACCCTAAGGAACGCCGCAGTTCATTGCATGTTTCCTTCTCCCAGACCACAGACTCGGCCATTTACTTCTGTGCTATGGAGCCACAGTGCTTCCCAGGCACCTGCAGCCTGAACACAAACTCTCAGCTGGGCTCAGCTCCTCCTCCAACCACACGCACATCACAGGATCACCACACAGCATTTGCACAGCTCAGTATTTCAAACCCACACTGGTAGGGTTTTAACCACAGAGACTTTTTGCTCTTAAGTTTGGGATGTTGGTCTTTGTCTTTCCTTCTTAATCTAGACCTCTTTATGCACTATAAACCTCTAACTTGAAACCAGTAGAGAAGCTGATAAGAGGACAGAATTAATATAAATATTTAAGCCACAGGGTTTTTTTGCTTGGCTTCCAAAAGAGCAAAAAAACCCGAAAGGAATAAAAAGAAAAGAAAAATTACTCCAATAGAGATGTTGTTACACAATGATCCAGCTCAGGGGGTGTCTCAGGAATGTTCAGGTCAGCCTCACCACAATGTGCCCCAAGACAATTGCAAATACTTATATCTCATCCTGCTAGTGCAGCAAAGCAAACAACATAATTTTTGCTAAATGATCAGATATTGATAAATCTGTGGGAAAAAAACTTTAAGATGTATATTTCATTCAACTAAGTCCCAGTCATGTTCTTGAGGCTTGTTTGTCCTAGGATATGGTCAATCCTGGAGAGGGTTCCCTCCATGAAGAAAAAGCATGTACTCTGTTCTTCAGGGTGGATGTCTGTTAGGTCTACTTGGTTTATAGTTTTGTTCAAGTTTTCTCTTTTGTAGTTGATATTCTGGCTAGTTTTTCTATTATTGAAAGTGAGATATTTAAGTTTCAAACTATTATTGTTGAAAACCTATTTGTCCCTTCCATTCTGTCCAGTTTTGCTTTATGTATTTTAATGTCTCTTGTTAAGTACTTATATGTTTATAATATCTTACTGAATCATTGGCCCTTTCATCATTATAAAATATTCTTCTTTCTCTCTAGTAAACATTTTTTGGTTTAGAGTTTATCTTGTCTAATAATAGTAATGCAACTCCAACTCTCTTTCATTTGCTGTTTGCATACCTTTTCCCATCCTTTTAGTTTTAACCTATTTTTATCTTTAAATTGAAAGTATGTCTCCCAGATGTAGTATACTAGAGGCCCAGTGCACAAAATTGATGCACAACGGGGGAGGGGTCCCTCAGCCTGGCCTGCACCCACTCACAATCCAGGATCCCTTAGGGGATGTCCAACTGCTGGGCCCTGTGGGATCGGGCCTAAACTGGCAGTTGGGCATCCCTCTTGCAATCTGGGACTGCTGGCTCCTAACCGCTCGCCTGCCTGTCTTCCTGATTGCCCCTAACCGCTTCTGCCTGCCAGCCTGATCACCCCCTAACTGCTCCCCTGCCAGCCTAATTGCCCACAACTGTCCTGCCCTGTCAGCCTGATCCCCTTCAACTGCCCTCCCCTGCCAGCCTCATCACCCCTAACCACTCTGCCTGCCTGCCTAATGCCCCTAATTGCTCCCTTGCCTGCCTGATCACCCCTAACCACCTCTGCCTTGGCCCCCACTGCAGCAGTGGCCCCCACTGCAGCAGCTTTGTTCGTAAGGACGTCTGGGAGGATGTCCAGAAGGATTTCCAGAAGGTCATTAGGCTGTCTGATCTAATTAGCATATTAGGCTTTTATTATTCTATATAATAAAAGCCTAATATGATTATCCTATATAATAAAAGCCTAATATGCTAAGTGTCCGGTCGTCTGTTCAACCAATCAAAGCATAATATGCTAATGATATGCTAAGGCAGCTCAACCACTCACTATGATGTGCACTGACCACCATGGGGCAGATGCTCTGACCTGTAAGTTATCTTGCTGCGGGTCTGGCTGATCAGGACTGAGCAAGATGGGCTGGACATGCCCTGGAGCCCTTGCCGGCCCCAATCATACACCTCTTGCAATCCAGGACCTCAGGATATGTTGGAGAGCTGGTTTCAACCTGATCCCGCAGGCCAGGCCAAGGGACCCCGCTGGTGCACGAATTCGTGCACTGGGCCTGTAGTTATAGATAATTGTATATCATTTTTTTTTTTTGTATATCATTTTTAACCAGTTTAATCATCTCTGCTTTTTTATTCAATTGTTTGGTCTATTCACATTTAATGTTATTATTGTTATAGTTGATTTGTCTGTTTTATAATTTTGTTTTCTACATGTTCCATATCCTTTTTAATTCATCTGTCCTTCATTTACTGTTTTCTTTAGTATAAAGTGAATATTTTCCAGTGTAATAATTTAATTCATTTCATTATTTTTTACTATATTTTTCAGTTATTTTCTTAGTGGTTACTTCAGGGCTTCTGGTATGTATCTTAACTTTGTGGATGAATAAGGGGCCACATACTAAACCTGACAAGTTCAGGGGAGGCCTGCATGGCAAACCTTGTGAACTCAGAGGCCAAAAGTAACCAGATATGATGGTCTGAAATTAAAATTTCCTAACTAAAAGCAGTTTCTGGTGGGTAGTCATGTCCTAGGCTGGTATCTTCCTTGACAAAGGTCAATCTTTACCTTAACTGACCCTGTCTAGTCCTTTTGCATCTACATAATATCTATTTGGAATGTTATAGTAATTTCTTTTTTTCCAGACCCTTCAGGGCACAATCATTGCACCAGAGCAGAGATCACAGAACCCTTCATTGTTATTGTTAATGTGTTAATTGTTAATTGTTAACTAGCCTATGCCACCAATGTGAAAGAAGTATGTGTCTATCAGGTTTACTTTCTATCTAATCCCAGAGAATTCCCTTCTCTGCTTTCTCTCTATCAGCAATTAATTTCATTTAACTCCCTACGTCTTCCCCTTTGATTCAGATATATAAAGTGGTAAAACTGCCATCTTCTAGAGCATTTTTCTCAGTTCCTTGAGAAATTCTTCTCCAGTTCTTCTCCAGCTGGTGTTGGACTCACCCCTTAACCAAACCACTTCCTAGACCTTTTGGGGTTCTGTGTCCCTTATCCAATTTGGTCCTTTTCCCAGGCTAGATTTCCCCCTACTACCTATGCCTCAAAGTAGAATCACCTCCCCTGTGTCATCTTGGCTTCTAATGGGCATGTGCCCAGCATAGAGATTTCCCTTTAATTGTTCTATCCCCCCGCTACCATCCACTCCTTGGTAATGTGAGAAGTTTGTGAAGCTGTAGCTTCCTAGTGAAGCAGGCCCAGTATTAGATTCAGCTTCCCTGTTTGTTAGGCTTCTTAATGCCTGATTCCTTTTGCTCTCCTCCTTTATTACTATATGGCTATTGAAATGAGTTTTAGAGATAAAGTAGACAGGTTTAGGGAGTTTTAGGAATGAGGATGGTCCATGGGGAGGAATACATAGATGGAGACTTGAAGAATCCAGGGTGTTTATCTTACTTGTACAGAGGATAGAGAAATGCCACAGGAAGATAGAAATAGTTCTGGCCTAAGCAATTAAAACAGCCATAAACCAAGGACAGACAGGGGTATTGCTGGACTGAGCAATTAAAATAGCCATAAACCAAGGACAGGGGTATCTCTGGCCTGAGCAATTAAAGTGACCATAAGTTAGACCAAAAGTATCCCTGACCTGAGTAGCTGAGAGCGTTATAAGATAAGGTTTTCTTTGCCAGCACAACTGGGAGAAGACCATAGGATAAATCAAAAGTGACTCCAACCTAAACAGATGACCAAACGAGGAAAAGTGCAGATGTGGGGGTCGTGGGAGCTATTACAGGACTAAGGTCCCACGGTAGAAAGAGGGGGTCCCCAGCCTATTTAATGCCTCAAGACAAAGAAGGCAGTGGTCACTCTTCTTGGGGGCCCCTCTATCCACCAAGAGGGACAGAGTTTTAGGCTTAGAATTTAGAATTAGGATTTTAGAGGTAGTATTTGCTTGCATAAAATCTGTACTTTTCACCCATCACCTTTTGTCTATGGCTTCATTCTTTGAATCCATCTGGACAAGAACCCGGGAGAGAAATCACCCTGCTCAATAAAACAACCCAAATCACTATCTAAGCTAACAACCCATCAGAAGCGGAGGAAGAGAAATGGAACAGATTCTTTCTCACAGGCCTCAGAAGGAACCAACCTTGCTGACACCCTGATCTTCTATCAGTAAGAAGTGTGAGACAATGAATTTATCTCATTTAAGCCTCCTGATTTATGATACTTCCTTATAGCAACTACTAGTATAGCTACTGAATAAAACTGCTGTAACAAAATTATCAAAAAATAGGTCACTCAAAACAATACAAATTTGTTCTCTTTTGGTTGGGGATGCACAAAGTCTGAAATTATTTTCATTGGCTATAGTCAAGGTCTTGGCGAGGTTGATTCTTTCTAGAGCAGCGGTTCTCAACCTGTGGGTCGCGACCCCTTTGGCGGTCGAACGACCCTTTCACAGGGGTAGCCTAAGACCATCTTGCATATCAGATATTTACATTATGATTCATAACAGTAGCAAAATTACAGTTATGAAGTAACAATGAAAATAATTTTATGGTTGGGGTCACAACATGAGGAACTGTATTTAAAGGGCCAGAACGTTGAGAACCACTGTTCTAGAGTCTTCAGGGCAGAAATTATTTCCTTTCCTTTTCTAGCTTCTGAAGGCCACCACCTGGATACCTTAGCTCATGACTCCTTTCTTAAAATACTCCAACCTCCTGCTTCCATCACCACATACCCTTCTCCTTCTAAGAACAATTGTGATTATATTTAGAGCCTACTCAGGTAGTCCAGAATAATTCATATCTGAAAGGTTTGGAGTTGGGCCAGGGTGGCACAGTGTAATAAAAATGATATTTATTCAAGGCCTCTGGGTGTAGGTGGACTGAGTTTGAGAAAGAAGTCAGTGCTGAATGAGGAGGGAGCAGGCTTTTTATGCACGTAGGGAGAGGTGCAGATGGCTTAGGCTTGACACATGTGTCAGGACCGTGCCTGGTCGTAGTTTTACAATCTTATCCTTTGTCCTTCTGCTGGTATCAGATGACCTTCCTCCTGGGGACTGTTCAGGAGTTATGGTCTTCAGGAATTTCTGTAAAATAAACACTCAAGGGGATCATGTTTGTGCAAGGCTTAGGCTTGCAGAACAAGCTTTCTTTTGTTAGCCTCTGACGAGTTGGAGCCCTTTTTCTTGATTAACCTTTTCAATATCAGTATCCTTAAATTAGTCA